TATTGTGGGGCAACAAAAGTGCTAACCACCGTGCTGCCATTTGTAAACTTCTGGTGCTAAACGTTATGAGGATACAGGACAGGCTTCGTTCTGTGTGGCTGCTGTATGTTTTGCAGTAAAACACAGTTTTGATTTCCTTTTCTAACAATCTGATTTCAGCTTCTGTGTGACCTCAACTATTCCTGTTAACTGTCATAATAATGTGAAGGAACAGTTATGTTAAAGAAAAAAATCTTCTGCTTTAAGTCAGACAATTTCAGATTCAGACAGATTGTTAGGAAAACATTTGGGGAAAGTTTAATAGTAGACCTAATGATGATGAAGATTTAGTCAAATTTATGAGTTTGTTCGCTCTCTCGAGGCGCTCAAACCTGTTTTTGCTTCTTCACTTTCAAATTGTATGAAATGTATTCATCCGATAAAAGGATTTGTACATTTGATTAGTCGTATCCTTCCATGTTATGTCTAATATGTCCAACATGTCTTGCTTCAGCATCAGCTGCTCTAAGTTTAAACAACAGGACAAAGAAGCAGTTAAACCTGCGTAAATCATCGCTGTGGTTTTCTGTTGAAGATGTTTTAGAGAGACATGAATGAAACTTTCATTCTTTGGCAGCTGGATTTTGTTGAGCTCATTTTACTGAGGTTTATTGTACATATGTTTCCACTGCATTCAGCTAATTGTAATCTCATTACCTTACAATATCAGGCACTTTGAGATGTTGGGAAATGATGTGAAATTAATAAAATAGATGTCTGTGAAGGTTCTCAGTCATCCAGGTCATCGTTTTAAAAATCATTAAAGAAGTCCAGACGCTTTTCTTTGCAAGCTCCTTTGACTAATAAAATAGATATAATATCTGTGGAGGTAGACTCTGTATTGATTGCATCTCTCTGATTGCAGCACCGAAAAAATGAAAATTCTGATATTCATAAAAAAGCACAATTTTTTTATAATGTTTCTTATAATTATCAGGAACAGTATATTTAAACTGAGCACACAATTACCTTCCAGCTGTGCTTCCAGGGCAGCGACGCGCTGGCAGCGGCTCTCTCCGTCCTGCAGCGCTGTGCTCAGTTTACCCTGCAGCTCCGCGGCCTTCTGCTGGTGAGCTGAAGCTTCCAGCTGCAGCTGAGACACCCGCGCTGCCGCTGAAGCCAGGTCCTCTGTTAGACGAACCTGGGGGAGTTGGCGAGAGGCGAGAGGTGAGAGGGGAAGATGCACTGGTGGCACTATATCAAAATAAAAGCCACAGAGATGGTGGAACGACATAGAAACAAGCCTGGATGAGTGTCTGCTGGTGCTAGCAGTGTGTCCCTGTGGAAGGAAAATGGTGAGTGCTGATTGATGAAAAGGAAGCAGAAGGACAAAAAAAGAAATAAGGTTAGTTGAGGTGCCAGTGAAGGATGATGAAAAAGGGTGATCCAGTGGCTGCAGTCAGACTGGGATCAAATAGGAGCTTCTCACAGTTCTTTGTGCTAAATTTTGTGCTTTCTGGTCTGCAATGACAATTTAGAGTCTCGGGATGTTTTTCAGCTGCGCTCTCTTACAGCATAACAACAAAACAACTTCCTGTAATTTAAACATCGATTATAATTCTAGATGCTTTTTCTTATTCGACAGATTCTAGCTGACCCCAGTCTGATGGCACTACACAGAGGAAACAGGCTCACCTGGCCAGAGCCCAGGTCCAGAGGCAGAGGATGCTGAGAAGAGAGAGCAGTGAATAGGAGTTTTTCCTCAGAGCAGCACAATGAAAAGAGCATTTGGAAAAGAGTGGAATCAGCAGATAGCAAACCTTTAACCAAGTCCAAACTACAAACAAGCTTCTGGCGACACACAAGTGTACAAACTACAGGAGCACAATAAGAAGGCTGGAATCAGCAAATACACCACGTTATTAAACCTTATACCACACTCTTTGTACACTTAATAAGCAACTTAATTACAAAATCACAAATAAACTCCAAAACAGTTTAACCAACATTTATTCTCAGGTTTTAAGAACAAAAACAACAAAAAAATCACAACTACACTCCATGGAAATCAATCAGTGCCTCCCTCCTGAACTTTCTGTGGAATCGGTTCATCTTGTATGAACTATATTAACTTTTCATTAACTACTACAGCCACCACTCTTCCAGAGCTACTGCACAGTAATTTTTGTTTTAACTGTAGAACGAATGATTTGACTCGTGTTTAAATACATCACAGCTTAGATATGAACAGTTTATTGTGCGCTTTTCTAACCTCCTACTTAATGTTTTTCAATTTTGGCATACGGGATGGGAATTGCTATTTTCCACTGGAGTAAAATGCCGAGCACACAGAGAGGGAAAGTCCTCTTTGTCACAATCTGATTCTTCTGAAAACCTTTATGATAGGAATGAAGCGTGTCCAGAGTCATGGCTATCTAACACAAAACTAACACAACCTGTGGTGTGAGTACATTACTCACTCAGTCAGGCAGGGCAGACGACAAATAACGAAAACCGCACATTGAATACGAACAAAGTAGTTACACAGCACATCAAACATTTTTAAAAAGTTACAAATTAAGTTTCTAATGTTTTATGAAGATACAGAATAAAGAGCAGTGGGTCAAATACTGATCCAATAATTAAAGACTTTAATTATATATAATTATATAACTTTCCTGTTTATTTGTTCATAGTACACGCTCCAATAGTCTCTACATATATCTGTATTACCACTGAATAAAGAAAATAAATGGCAACACAGTTACACTGAAATAAAGACATTTTCTACTTTGGTTTACTTCAAACATTTTTTGTGTCTTTGAAGGAAAAAGGAGCCAATGAAACTTAATCTTAGTAAATATTCCAAAGGTAGAAATCAGAAATGCCAGAATGTTCAAGAACGTTTCACTTTGTCATTTCTTAATAAGAAGCAAAATAAAAAAAAAAACTTAAATCTCAGTTGTGAAGACCCGCAGCCGCCTGCCACAAAATCAGCAGACTCTGTAATACGCTGCATGTGACCACTAAGTCCAACACATGTCCTGTTAAGTTCTTAGTCCTCTCACTAAAAGGGAAGTCTGTCACCACAAACATCCAAAACTTAGCCAACAGCCTTATTTGATTCATTAAAGACCAAAAATACCAAACGACTCACTTTGTCCTGCTCAGCCTGCAGCAGTCTCGCCTGGTTCTGTTCACTGGACGACTTGAGGGAGTCATTCCTCTGTTCCAGCATCAGGTGACTCTGCTCCATGTACCTGAAAAATCACACCACCACCCCGTTCACACGTCTGCATCAAGCACACTCAGGCTCAAAGACTCCCTCGTGCTTTCATTAGGCTATATGGGACTGCTAGGTTACTGTTAAGATCAAATTACAACGTGACAGAGAGACAATTAAACATTAGAACTAGAAGCAACCCATTCTGAACTGTTAAAAACTGCATTACACTAAAACTCGCTGGTATTGACAGAATATCCAGGCTTATTAGGGGTGGGGAAAAAATCGATACTGTGTAG